GAGCTCCATGGCTTCATAGCCTTCCTCTCTAAGCCTATGAATAATAGTAATAATAATAATGAGAACTGCAGAGCTGGAAGGGATCCTATGGAACAACAAATCCAGTCCTTGTCAAGGAGGGACAATGGGGAATTGAACTACCAACCTCTGGTTCTGCAATCCAGATGATTAAACCACTGAACTAAAACATCATTGTGAGACTGGTAAGTTACCATCTTCCCTTTCCAGCTGTATTATTAGTAGTGCAGAAGGAAAAACATGAGACTGTTTACACATATCCTTTTATTTATCCTCACTAAAGACCTACTAAATAGTTGTTGTGGGTTTTTCTGGCTCTTTGGCCGTGTTCTGAAGGTTGTTCTTCCTAATGTTTTGCCAGTCTCTGTGGCCGGCATCTTCAGAGGACAGCACTCTGTGCTCTGGTGTAGTTGGCTTGGGAGTGGAGTATTTATGGCTGTGAGATGGGCTTTTGTCTTTTTCTGTAGATGGGTGATTAGTGTGTCTTGTTGTGGGTGTATTGTTGTGATAAGAAGGAGAGATTATCTGTCACTGTGGTTGATGGGTGTCATTAGCTGGTCTTTTGTGTGTAGTTGTACCTGGTCCTTGTGGCTGGGTAGAGCTCATTGACCTTTTGCACACTGTATTTTTCAGAGCTGGGAGCCAAGTTTTGTTGTGTTTCAAACTTTCCTCTTTTTTGTTGAACGTCTGCTAAAAGAACCAGAAAAATCTGCAGTAGCTGAAAATGCCCTAAAACAAATTGGACATGAAATTCTATTTCAAAATACCTAAATACTGGCCAATACCAGCAATCATTACGTCAGACTGCACAGGGAAGCCATTGAAATCCACAAGCACCACCAGAACTTCAACAAAAAAGAGGAAAGTTTGAAACTCAACAAAACTTGGCTCCCAACTTTGAAAAATACAGCGTGCAAAAGGTCAATGAACTCTACCCAGCCACAAGGACCAGGGATCACTGCACACAAAAGACCAGCTAATGACACCCATCAGTCACAGTGACAGATAATCTCTCCTCCTCATCACAACAATACACCCACAACAAGACACACTAATCACCCATCTACAGAAAAAGACAAAAGCCCATCTCACAGCCATAAATACTCCACTCCCAAGCCAACTACACCAGAGCACAAAGTGCTGTCCTCTGAAGATGCCGGCCACAGAGACTGGCAAAACGTTAGGAAGAACAACCTTCAGAACACGGCCAAGGAGCCCGAAAAACCCACAACAACCATTAGATCCCGGCCGTGAAAGCCTTCGCGAATACACCTACTAAATACTTTGAGCTGGGAAGAGATATTTCATATTTCCTCAACATGTGAAACAGTTCAATATTATGGTGTCAGTGTGGACATACAATGAGCTAGCCCTCGGAAAAATGAGGACAGTAGCTGACAGGTGGTTATTTTCAGCTCTTGGCATATTAGGCCAGATATCTTTGCATTCATTAAATCGAGATTCCATTTTCAAGATGTATATTGGAGGCATCTCCTTTCATGAACTGAAGATAGTGAGCAGTGGAGTGTCAAAGTACAGGTTACAGTAATATGAATTTTTAATGGCATTTTATTTTGGAAATAAAACTGTAAAATACAACCAACAAGGAAGAACAAACAATACAAAAATCATTAATCAGCAGGGAAAAAAATCACTCATAGTCATAATATTTAGGTATATAACAGAATTCTCATGTGGATTCATGTATAAAAGAGTCCTAGTCAGGGTCCCGATACACAATGGAATCAGAACATGGCAGAAATGATATTTAGTTCTTCTGCTTTGTTGTTGTCCCTTTGAAAAGCACACCTCAAGATGTCTACTTGCAGGAAAACAGTGGCAGGAAGGGTTAATCCCTCTGCCACCCACACTGTAATCTCAATTCAGATTAGCATCCCCTTAGATTTTCTTTTTCTAAAGAGAAAAACTAACCTTATAAATTAAAGAGACTTTCAAGATGATCAGATAGCCTGGATGAACATAACTCAGCTTAACTAACCAAGATATGAACAAACGTTTTGCCTATATATGAACCCTCTTAGCATGAGCCAAGCAAACAAACCAGGAAACCTACTAATTTCCTATTTTGTTCCAACCAGTTTTGTTACGAAACTATTCTTATTGGCTTTAAAACAAACCAGGATACTCATCCATCTTCAAATCATGGTTCAGTATCATGGTTTGTTTTCAAGAAGGAAACCATAACTTCCTGGGTTTGAATGAAACAGTAAAATATAATTAACAGAAGACTTCTTTATTTACAATATATATCAAGAATGAAATGACAAGGCTAAGACTGCAAGTAAAATATTCACTTATTTATTTTCTTAAGTTAAAATAAGAGTATCTGGAGTATCGGAAGACACTGAATGTGTAGTCTGGTCCACTGTCACTGACCATAGATTTTTTTTCCTGATCCTCCTGGGCTTGATAAGTTCTTGGATTGATTGATCAATCATTTTGTATAATTCATTAAATATTTTTAATGACAGCTTAAAAATTCTTTCAATGAACACCAATGCCCGTCTGCCAAAACCCAATCAAATTTCTGGCCATTAGTTGAGCTAAATTTGAACCTGCAGTTTCAGACTTCTACAATGTAATTTTCCTGACTAGCAGTTTGCTCTAATGAGACTCAAAGGAGAGACACACAGTAAGAAAGCCTTCAGAAGACATTTATGCCTGTACATTTCTGACAGTTCAGGAAACAGAACATGTATACCATCTGAAGCATAATAGCAATGATTAAGTGCCATTAACAATAGAGGAGGGGGTTGGAAACATAAAGCCTGGATGTAGCTCAAGTGTACACTCCCAGATGGTCATTAAAGGGAATTATGAATTTAATTGCTCAAACTGCAAGTCTCCTGCCTAAGACAGTCTAATGAAATAATTGGGGTTTCCTGGAAAGATGGATTTGGGAGTGCAGTAATCCATGTGTCTTTCTTAAACTTCATGGAACAGCTGAGAGTTTTCCCAGATCAATGATTTGCTTTTTGCTGGCAGAGCTGGAGGGCGAAACAATTTATGTACAGGAGAGGAAGAACGTGCTATGGGTATTGTCTCTAATTTGCTTTCAGTTGCTTTTCAAAATAAAGTCAAATAGAAGAATTCTGTTTTGTCTTTGGAAAGAATTAAGCATCAGTGTATGGAAGAAAATCCATTAAACTCCTGCTAACTGGGAGGGAAAAAAGGAAACAGCTAAAAGTGGTGATGCAGTTTTTTATTTTTTTCTCAGACAAAATCCCTTTAAATACAGGGGGAAATCCCTTTAAATTTTCAATGTTATTATTGCTGCTGTTCTTCTCAGAAAGACTTGAAGGCAACTGGCAGCTACAATGTCTTCCCAGGGCAAGGGCAGGTCTGTTTCATGGAGAATATGTTGGCCAGTGATGGCTTTACAGACGGTCTCTGTTCATGGTGAGTATACTTCTTAATGTCAGCTGACAAGATGCCACAGTTCATTTGCCTGACAACTGTGTGAAACAAGTTGTGGGGCTTGATGGACCTGGGGCCTTGATCTGACAGAATTCTCCATATGTCACTGTGCAAACCATTTCCCTATCAAAGGTTACCAGCAATCCCCAAACATCTAGATCGATGATGCAGCAATCGCGAACTAATGAAGGTCAAAATTTGTATGTAAATGAAGCACACACTTGACATCTAAGCTGAAGAACCACATTTCTCACCATCTAAAATTTCTTTCTCAAGCAAGGTACAGTGGTGCCTCAACTTGCGACCATCCCGACTTACAATCATTTCGAGTTACGACCAGCTCCAGCTGCAAAATTTTGCTTTGACTTGCAGCCAGAGTTTCCAGTTACAACAGGAAAAAAAGGTGGGGTATTCAAATCTACTAATCGTTGGTCGGCGAAGAGGCTGCTTCTTTGTAGCTCTTTCACCCCAACGGTTAGAGTGAGTGGTCGGAGGAGGCTTTGGACTGTCTGGTGCTGCTTTCTGCTTCTGAGTAAGTACATTAACTTTGTTTTGCAGGGTAGGTTTGGGTTTTTTGGGGGGTTATGTTTTCTGTGCTGTGATGTTTTTTGGGTTTTTTCCAGCTCGATTGCATCCCGATGGGGCCGGCTGTGTGTGTGTGTGTGGTTTTTTTTGTGATTATTTTTCAGCCTCATCACATTACAATGGGGCTTGCTCTGTTTATTTGTAAGTTTGTTTTCTTGGCCAGAACAGATTAATGAGGTTTCAATGTATTCCTATGGGAAATGGTGCTTCAATTTACGACCATTTCGAGTTACGCCCATCTTCTGGAGCGGATTATGGTTGTAAATTGAGGCACCACTGCCTCTACTATGAATGGTTGTATTAAACAACCTTAAGAAGTAACTTGTGTTTGCAGGTGAAGAGGTAACACCAAGAGAGAGTTCTTCATTCAGATCTATGTGGCTGAATGAGATTTGATCTAGACTATTCAAAACTGAACATGATGTCCTCTGGCTTACAATAAATTGGTATTCCTAGCTAGAGTAGATTAGCTGAATCAATTGCTGAATGATGTGACGATATATATGTAAATACCATGCATTTAATGGGGTTACTCAAATTTGTGCTACCAATCGGATTGAGGCCTACTTCTTTTCTAAGTAGAAGTAGTTTACAAAATATTTCAGCTGCATTGCATAGGAAATATCTGTAGGAAATGTCTTCAGTATATTCTCAGCATGTCTGTACCCACTAACTTATATCCTGATTCCTGAAGTTTTCCTCTATAGTTAGAACAGAAGCCTTACACCTTATAAACAATATTCTAATAAATTCTTGTTATTTTTAATCTCAGGATTCTGAATAGAAGCAAGTCTTTAACACACACTCACTAGGCATATAATAGTTCATCCAGATAAAACAGATGGGCAGAAATACTGTACGCCAGTTGTTCTGCCATATCCCAGAATGAAATTTTCTCTCCTCATTTCTAAGCACTTAAGAACCTTCAACTCCACGTTGTTCTTTTAAATGGCACTCACCGTGGTCATGAGCAAACACAAAAAAGTTGATTCCTGTCAACATCTGGGCCAGTTCATCATAGCGACAGCAGTGTTCTCCAGCACCGTGAGCAACGAACACCAGGCCTCTAAAATGGAGCATCAAGATAGAAAGCATTACATTAGAAACCAGGAAATATACTGTATAGGCAAACAAACTGTGGGTGAAAATATAAGCCTTTAAGCATCGGTAAAGCTATTTAAAATGCTATCTCAACATTTTAAAGCCCTACACATTTTGGGATCCATACAGGAGTTACTTTAGCTTTTCGATGTCAATTACTGTACAAACCTGTTTGTCAAAGGACAGTTTTACTATATTTTATTTACTCTTGCCAATGGAAAACCTGTAAGCTATTGCTGAGAGATTGCCAGTGCAGCCACAAAATCAATTGTTCTGCTGTTAGTATGGAAAATGTAATAATATCCACAAAAAAACATGCTCTGCAATATGACGTCCAGACGTTTACTGGGCCACCTTCTCCTAGACTGATCCACATACTCACCGAGATCATCATCTGCAGATCTCCTCTGCCCCCACCTTCTGTGTTGGAACAATGGTAAGCACAGAAAAAAGTCTTTTTATGGCAGTCCCTCTGCAAAATCTTAACTGATGACATGTATCCCATAACATTTTTATTCTTCCAGTCATAAAGAACCTTTAGAAATTCTAATTTTTCTTTTTATTGGTATGCAAGGTAACAAATGGGGTACCACAAGGCTCAGTTCTGAGCCCAATGATCTTCAACATTTTTATTAATGACCTGGAGCAATAAGATGCTTATCAAATTTGTGGATGATTTGTGGTGGAATAGCCAATATCCTGGAAGATAGAAACAAAATTCAAAAATATCTTTATAGGTTTGAACACTGGACTAAAAACAACCAAATGACATTTAACAGGGATAAATACAAAGGTCTACGCATGGGAAAAAGAAACCAAAGGCAAAGTTACAAGATGGGGGACACTTGGCAAAGCAATACTATATGTAAGAAGGATTTTGGAATATATGGCCTTTATAGGCCCCTTCCGACTCCCTTATTCTATGATTCTATGACTCTGTGGTTTCATGCTACAGAAGGGACAAGAATGTCCCAAGTTCTAACTCAACTATCTAACCACTACAAAACAGTGCCATATTACGTTGCACTATATGCAACAACTGTTTGTTCTCAAACCCACAATATAATTTGTGAAGGAAAGGGTCATCTTGCAATAAATCTTAAGGTTAGTAAATGACTTGGTGGTGGTGGTAGGAATGGTCCAGCCTTTTTCATTTCTCTCACAGCGGTTTGCTCTGCAGAAAGGAACAGGTGAAGCTTGCCCACAGGGACTAAGACAAAAACTGACAACCATGGGCACTTATCCACTGCCCTTAGGCAGGCTTATAATTAAGCCATTTTCCTGTTTAGTTATGATCATTAAGGAATTTGCTCAAGGAGCGGAGCAAAGAAATAAACCTGAACACATAAGAGAGCAGATTCGTTTATTCTATCAGGTTGCCAAGATTGCTAATATGGTTACAAAGAAATTAATTTTAATCCTTTTTAAAGAACTGTAGGCTGATCATTTCTTGCTATGTGCACTTCCAAACCTGCCATATATGGGGAATGTAGATCCCCCCTTTCTCACTCTGGTGCAGAACAACTTTACCCATAATAAGCATTAGTCCTACAGGGATTCACCCTGATGTTTTAACACACAAGATCATCAGAAAACCTTAAACACACTGGCAGATGCAATCAGCAGCAGGAATCAAAGAGAACAGCAAAATTAGATACTGAAAGCAACAACAAAGATCAACATTTTAAGATTTTATTTAAAAAAAAGTCTTCAGGGAGGGATCCCAGCAAAGAGATAGAGGCAAAGTCATGCCAGAACAAGTGGAAATGTTTTTGAATTTGGCCATTCTCACTAGACAACATATGACTGCCTGATCTTTTACATATATTTATTTATTAGTATTTTCATGACCTTATTTCTATGAATCTTGATTTTTAATGTGCGTTTTTATTGAAAGCTATATTGGTCTGTTGACAGAGAGTCGAGGCATCACCACTAAGAAGACCCTGTTTCTTTTTGCCACATAAGTGACATCAGCAGCCAGAGACAAATGGAGCAGGGCTACTGAAGATTTCAATGCAGCTGTACCACAGCCTGATATAATAGGATGGGCTATAAATGTTTAAATAAATAAACAAATAAAAGCACTGGCTGAAATCCTGTTGCTCAGCGTAAGCCAAACAGTAACTTTCAGTCAATTTCCCCCCAATAAACAGACCATCTTTGCCATGATTCTCAAAGGGACATGGACATGCTGGGTAGTGTGCATATGTGCATGCCCAGAGTATCACAACAGGAACATTTTGTTGCCTAGGGAGGAACAGACAAAAAGTTACAATTCAGATTACGCTAAAGCAACAGGATTTTGGCCATTATGAGATTGGCAAGCTAACAGGATTTTGGCCATTATGAGATTGGCATCTATGGGTCTTTCCCTCCTCCTCCTCTTCCTAGTAATTTCAAATGTGCTTGAACAATTTATCTCCAGAACAGTGATCTTAGCGAGCTAGTCTGCATTTTTCTAGGTTATTCAAGCTTATTAATATGCTAGAATGTGAATGTGTGAGGCATACATCAGTAACACTTTTATTTGAAAGATTTTATGAACAGCTCTAAAACATCACTGCTGACACATGCAGTTTGAACACTTGAAAGTTAAATCCTTCCAGAAATATGGGGGTGGAGGAATCAATTAACAGAAACAGGAAAATGATTCAAAGCAAATCCACAGTTAAGCCATTCATCTATGGTTTCACTGCAACAGTCGATCACAACTTAATCCACACATTTACCTTTGCGCTACAACTGGCAGAATGAATGATGTTTAGATTTAATTGGCTCCCAAACCCTATTCATACGGAATTAATGTTCTGATCACCTCACTGTCCTGTATCATGTAAACTATGTCCCCATCATAGGGGACTAACATCAAGGAAAGAAAGAAGAAAATATGACATTGGTGGGGAAAATATATACATTAACTGGGTTATTACTTTTGCCAGGGAAAGTTTTGTAGCAGTAACCAGACTGCATTATCAATATCCGAAGAGGAATTTAGGATTAAACTACAGCCTTATTTGTGTGTTACTCATGTGTAAGCAGAATCCATGCTTTAATCATATTAGCCTCTAACAATCATTCCTGAATATCGTTGTTTACAAAAGCATCTTAAGCCAGTGGCAGGCCTATAGCCCTCTTCATGCTTCACCATGTAAGATTCCACATGTAGGTACCACCTGAACTGGGCCTACATTTAATCCACATCTCTCAATAACATATTTTTCTGTGTATAAGATGCCCCCATGTATAAGACCCCCCCTAATTCTCCAACCCAAAATTCAGAAATCAATATTTTAAACATTAGAAAGGAACACATTTTTAGTAATTAGGCAACATTTACATACCATTACTATGATATTAGGCATCACACTTAGCTGAGCAAATCACTTCATTCAGCCTTGTTTGCATAACTGATTACATTCAGTCTGACTTTTGCAGAGTAAGACATTTACATTTTCTGACATCTCAGTGATCTTTGCCTTTCACTGCCTACACCCGTGATGTCAAACCTTTTTGAGCCTGAGTGCCCAAATAAGCAGACACCCTCCAGGCCGGCGCATCCTCCGGAGGGCGGCCAGGGGCCACTTTTTCTCCTCTCTCCCCAAAATAAGCAGGGCCTTTGCCCAGGCTTCCTGCACTGTGCTGAGCTCTGCTTGCTTGCTTGCTCTTCTGCGGGGCTGGAGTCGCAGTCAATGAGCAGAAGCAATTTTGCGCCGAGAGGCAGCCGGGTGCAGCTCCTCCTCCTTTGCCTCCTCTTGCTGCTGCTGTTGCCACCTGATTACTGCCTCCAGCACCACTCGTGGACTCCTTTTGGGCAGGGGACACGGCAGCAGCTGCCTCCTCGCTGCTGCTGTTGCCATCCGATTACTGCCTCCAGCACCACTCGTGGGCTCCTTTTGGGCAGGGGACACGGCAGCAGCGTGAGCTTGAACTGAGCCCCAGCAGCGAGTGGAGCCGCACCCTGCACCGGACTGGTATGGGCAGCAGCATCTACATGGCTCGTGTGCTCACAGAGGACTCTGCATGCCAGCTGGGGCTTGCGTGCTGCTGCTGTTGCCATCCGATTACTGCCTCCAGCACCACTCGTGGGCTCCTTTTGGGCAGGGGACACGGCAGCAGCGTGAGCTTGAACTGAGCCCCAGCAGCGAGTGGAGCCGCACCCTGCACCGGACTGGTATGGGCAGCAGCATCTACATGGCTCGTGTGCTCACAGAGGACTCTGCATGCCAGCTGGGGCTTGCGTGCCATAGGTTCACCATCGCTAGCCTACACACTCTCCTCCGCATCAGCTTACGTCATTTATATAAGGGCTGTGATTGGAGGAAGCCTGTTTGCAGAGACTTGTGCAATTTTGCAACTGTGCAGTTTTCTCCTTGGCTTATTTCCATGTATAACACAACCTTCAATTTTTAGTCTAACGTGCGGTTTTCTCCTTGGCTTATTTCCATGTACAGTATAACACAACCTTCAATTTTTAGTCTAACAATTTTGGGAAAAAGTAGCATCTTATACACAGAAAAATACGGTATGCTTGCTGTAAAGTGATATTTCATCACACTCGGTGTTTCCCTTGTCTTGTCCAAACAACAGCCAGTAAACAAAAACAGGGCTATAGGAATGCTTGAAGCAGTGGCCTCATGTCATGTATCTGTTGTAATACAGTGAGATGCTACTAGGCTACAGTTTCCATCACCATTCATTATGGGCTATGTAACTTGCTGTCTAATGACACTTGGAAAGCCACACATTCCCCACCTGCTTCCATAAAAATACATTATAAGTTGTAAAGTGAAAACGTAGTGGTGGCGGTCACATAAGATGAGATAGTTTAATTCTTAGCTGGAGGCACAAGTTTGCTCCTCATGGAGAATGATGAGAAATGAGAACAGTTACACTTTTAATCACAATTTGCAGAATGCAACAGGCAGCATAGCTAGTGGGTATGCTGTGTGTGGTGCTCAAAGA